ATTAGCCTAAGGATAAAAGCCACACTTTGAGAATAAAGGAATCAAGAAAGTTGCAGAGAAACAGAGCTGTGCCATGCTGGAGACTGATTTCTTGCAATATGAACAATAAATCACCTTATTTCTTCAGTTATTTTGAATTGAGTTTTCTATTCTTTGCCATCAAAACCACCCTAACAAAACAAGCCACACTCATACCACAATCATAATTATCATTTGCTTTCTCTTCCAAATTTTTCACAGCTATCTTTATTTCCACAGTTAGTTGTAATGTATATAAATTTTGTATCCATCTTTTCTCCTTTAATATTGTCATAGACAGATAACTGGATAAAGAAGACGTGGTGTGTGTATACACACACACACACACACACACACACACACACACACACACAGGAATATTACTCAGCCATAAAAAATGAAATGTTATTTGCAGCAACATGGATGGACCTAGAGATTACCATATTAAGTGAAGCAAATGAGACAGAGAAAAACAAGTATCATATGATGTCACTTATATGTGGAATCTAAAAAAAAAAGACACAAATTTTATTTACAGACCAGAAACCGACTCTCATGGACACAGAAAACAAACTGTGGTTACCAGGGGGGAGAAGGGAGGTAGGGCTAAGATTAGGAGTTTGGGATTAATAGATACACATTACTATACACAACACAGATAAACAACAAGGACCTATTGTATAGCACAAGGAACCATATTCAATGTCCTGTAATGAGCTGTAATGGAAAAGAATCTGAAAAATATATACATAAACATATATGTATAACTGAATCACTTTGCTGTACACCTGAAACTAACGTTGTCAACCAACTACACTTCAATAAAAAATAAGAACTTAACAAAAAACATTGTCAGAGGCATTTTTCCATTTTTTTAATATATAATCTTTGCAATTATCACTTTAAGAGCTGCATAGTATTCATCAAATGAAGGGACCTCTGGGTAGTACCTTATCACTGGGTATTTAGGTTTGCCTTCACAGTTATAAACCAAATTATGTTTACGAAGATTACTTTCACACACACACACACTCAAAGACTATATATATATGTATATATGGACTGTGTGTATGTGTGTGTGTGTGTGTGTATGTGTATATATTTCAGGTTAATCACTTGTAAAAGGCAATAGTAACTGGATATCTAATTTTCTTCTTTAAAAAAATCTTCACACTAGTAAAGAGTCAGAAAATGCCCCAAGTCAAAGCTATTTTATAATTGCCTTAGCCTGAAAAGCAGATTGAGCTCAATATTTAAAATCCAGCCAGGAAATTTATCAAATCTGTTATCACTAATAAATGTTTTTCGACACCTGCTACATCGAATCAAGATGCAGCATTCAAAAAAATTTTAAAGGGACAGCTTTCAGCCAACCTTTTAATTAACATTCACGTCAAACACCAGATGGACTTCAAAGAGTATAGCCTATAAACAGTAGCATCCGTCCCACAAATCCGCTATCTCTATTTGAATCAGGAGATTTAGGAGGACAGACAGGCATGACACGACAAAAAATCAGATCTATGAATTAGTCTTTCTGGTAGAATCTCAAGCATTAAAGCATTCTCGTGTAGATACCTGCTTTAGCCATAAGTCCTCAGTCCCCTGTGGCTGAGTTCCACTTGGCTACTTGCAACAAAGAGGAGTTCCTAGCACAGTCAAGCAAGTTGCCCAGCCACGCCAACCAGAGACTGAAAAAGTGATTTCCCTTTTCAGTCAGGAAGCTCTAAATTATTACAAGGTATTGTTGGGAGGAATCAGTTGTCTGTTAATTCCTCCTGTAAAAATGTGATAATAACCTGGCTCACATTGAGTTGATAATCATATCCTGGTGAACTCAGCTGTTATTATTCCACACTGGTCAAATAAAAACCAGTGGGGCCATTTTCTAAAACCACACAAAATTGACCATATAGCTGACTTATGCTTGACTCTAAACCTAGCAGGATTCGATCACAGAATGGTGGACTCGGCCAACAGGATCACCCACCACTACCCAGCTTAGGTGGGTTCTGATGCCAAGGTTTTCCCTGACTGTGACAAAGGGTCTTCAGCACTAATCACCTTGACGGCTCATCAGAAATGCACATTCCTGAGCCAGATTCCTAAGCTTACATAATCGGAGTCTCAGGAGGCTGGAGCCCAGGAATCTGCATTTTAATAAGCCCCCACGTGGTTCTAATGCTCACTGTGAGAACTAGTTCCCTGGGCTGATTAAGGGTGTTGCAATCCCTGGACTGATTCTTTACTACTAATTTGCAAGTTTTACACAACCAGAGCCCAGGCATCCTCTTTCTCGTTCTCAGACATTTGAGCCACTGAGTGTCCACGCCCCACCTGGCTTACCTGAGATCCCCTACCACCCCTTCCACTAGCCTTCAACCAACTCTCCACCTCAAGAGCACCAACTTCCTCATTTCTCTCAATGTAACCAGATACATGACTCTAGTCTCCAGTTTATTTATTAAAGGAGGGATTTCATTACAATAATTTTTTTCCTTTTGTTCTCATTGTTTCTCGTAAAGAAAAAAGAAAAAGAAAAGAAAGAAAAAAAACTAGATATTTTCAAATCATAAGAGACTAGAAATCATGTGCACTGGACCAAATATAATTTCCTTTCTCCTTCCTTTTAGACTAGTCCTTAAGCTGCAAAAATAGGACCATTAGACAGCACAGATATTTCTACATGCTTATATAATTAAAGAACAAAATAAGCTGTGGAGTAAAAATATGCACTATCTTATAATGTTGCTATGAGAATTAAATGAGAAGACTAATACGTAAAATGTTTAGCTAAGCATCCAACACAGAGTGAATGCTCAATAAATCCTACCTGCTGTTATGAGGCCGGGTTGTTTTGGTAACTGGGAAAGTTCTTTCAATAAATCTATTCCAAAACTGCCTTTCTCCAGATAAAGAAACCAAAGCTCTGGGGGTTAAGAGTCTTACTCAACACGGAGTAGCTACTGGCAGATCCAAAGCGGACACCAGTGTTTTCTAAAGCACAATTCCATATTCTTCTCACCACTCCATGACAGCTTTGTTCACACTCCTAAGGGAAATGTACAGCCAAGAAAGCTATACGGTTCAGAACAGCCAGTCATTTTGAAAGCATGAATTATGCCCAAGCAGAACATGAGGAATAAATGACAGAATGGGTTATCAAGACTGAGTCTATGAAAGTAATTAAATTATTACATAGCCAGCAGATTGCTTTCCTGGTCGTTGTTGCTGTTGTTGTGTTTTTATATTTGTTGGCAGGGGGAGGCATTTATCTCCCATCTCGGGTGGTTTCTTTTGCTTCTTTTGTGTTCAGTCACTTTACTCCAGGAAGTACACACACTTAAGCAGTGTTTGGAGTTTTGTCTAGTGACAATTAGCTATGAACATAAAGACATCCACAAAGAGTCCATGCTGCTGTTAGGTTTAAATTTCTTTTCAATACAAGAGGCCGGGGAGAATCAAAGGACAAGCTACTCTCCTCTGGAATATAAAGTTAAAACAGTTACGTATCAGAAAGAACACAACAGATCACTCTAGTGCTTTAACTTTGAATTCCATTTACTTCTATTATAATAGGAAATATGAAATACAATAGTAAAATGAAAAAACTGTCAATGTTTGCCAAACATGAGATTCTATTACAAATTATCTCTTACAGTAAATAGTGAAACAATGCTAGGGCTCTCTGCTTGCTATTATCTCAAATTTTTTATAGCCACATTGGCATTCTGTCTGTGAAACACAAGTAGAGCGATGACTTCATTCTCTAGGATGAAGGATAATTGATCTTAACCTTCCCATCACTTTCCTTTAACTCAAAGCACTAATGCAATTGAAGGCACAGAGAAATAAAAATTTCTGAAGGGAAAGAATGGCCCTGTGAAAGTTAACCTCCAAATTACCTCCAAAAGGTACAAAGCAGGACATATCTCAGAGTCACGATTAACGAAACCTCTGCCCCACAGCTTGGGTGGAGAGCTGCCAAAAAAAAAATTTATTAAGGAAAATCCAACTTTGAAGGTCATAAGGTTTTTCTTCCATAGCTATAAAAGGAGAGGGGGAGAAAGCCCTAATTTTAAACAAAACCCCAACAACTCAAAACGAAGCATGATTCAAAGGCAAATTATTCACTTACATTTAAATATATTAATGTGACACTTCTATTATCACAAAACCAAAACATCTTACCAACTTTATTCTTTACCAACTAACCCAGATTGTCCACAAATAAGATATACAGCTGAATAGGGGCATTCCTGAACTGCGCTTGACTATAACAAGTAGCTCCTGCCCTATGATGGTTACTATTCCTATCTCTTTCCCTTTCTTTTTTCTTCACTCAATATTGATATTTACCGTACTGTGCCCAAGAACCATGAACAGCATTTTGACCAGCTGTATTTTCACCCGGAAATTTTGCCAGACTTTTTCAAATACATGTCAATGGTGAGAGTTAAGACAGAAATTTTACCACATTTTCCCAAATAGGGTCTACGGGGGTCGGGGGTGGGGGGAGGGTGGTTATTGGTTGTCATATTGGATTTAATATTTCCCTTTCCAAAACAAGTAATTAGAAAGTATCCCCTCCTTTGCTTTGCTTCTTCTCCGTAAATATGGATAAATATGGTAAAACTCTCAAGGCAAGCTGACCCAGAGAGCACACTCCCAACGCACGCGCGCACACAAACACACATACACACAGTGGCCAGAAACACGACCTTATCCAGGAAGCCAGAGCGCAGCACCTTGGCGAGAAACTATCACCCCGGACAACCTTCACACACAAAGCGGCTTTGCTAATTTAGAGTCAAGGTAGGAATGTACTTGGCTGGTAACTCAGAGCCCAGCACCACACTGAGCAATGCAAACCCGCAACCCCACACCCTCTCACTCCCCCTCTTCAAAACCTAGCGCCCTCTCCTAACCAAGCTTGTTCCCCGCCAGTTCCGAGGCGCCGCCGCTGCGCCGAGGCCACTCACCGTGTCTGCAGTCGCAGTAGCCCCAGTCCACCTTGCCGTGGGCGTTCCCATAGAAG